GCAGTAGTTTGGCAGCTGGTGAGGAGACTAGCCAATGGTCAGGCAGAGAGCAGCAGATGGGGTGCTACCCATCTCACTTTCTCTCCAGTTAGGCCTGATTTTCATTTACTTTACCTGACTTTGGGGACATCCGAGTGGCCCCAGTAAGAGAGTGCAACAGGAAGTCTGTGTGAGGGCTTGAAGGCAAGACAGTAAGACAGTGTCTCAATCCAAGAACCCCAGGTCACAGGATCACCCTGCCCTGGAAGTGTGGCTCTGGCCCCACTTGAAGGGGAAGCTGAAGGTTATCTACCAGTCTGTGACTTCTCCATAGTCTAGGAACATAGCTGAACAGAAGCCCTTGCTTTGGGAAGACCTGCCCAGGACATCACAATGCTATCCAGTCTTCCATGCCTGTCAGCTGTTCTAGGCAAAGCTGCCATTTGCCATTTCTTCCAAAGACTGGACTGGCCCTTACTGGGGACAGAGGAGTTAGGCAGATCAAGAAATAGCTTTGAACTCAACAGTGGGGGGGGGTGGTGGGATGCTGTATGGCTGTCCCAGTACTGCTATTGACAATGAGATCATGGGCCCTTTGAGGGCAGGGCTGTGATGTGCTTTAGTAACTGATAGACATCTGTGAGGCAGATGCTCAGTAAGGCTTATCGAATGAGCAGATGGATATGTTTCCTGTTACACAGATTCCTGTTCAAGCTTTTTTTTTTTCAGTAAAAACTTCATTTTGTTAAACCAACTATTGCTTCTGACAAAATGTCACATACCACTCTTCCATTGTCTCAGAAGGAATGCCCTTGGCTTCAGTAAGATGATCTAATGCCACTGATTTTGACTCTTTAGTAAATGACTGCAGTGCAGAAAGTATAATAGGATAATTCCATGTAGACCCCCAAGTCTGGTCAGTATTGGGATCTCCGAGCAACAACTTTAGGATGGAATCCTTATTTGCTTTAGTTGAGGTCTCTCTCTCTCTCTCTCTCTCTCTCTCTCTCTCTCTCTCTCTCTCTCTGTGTGTGAGAGAGAGAGAGAGAGAAATCTGTTTTGCTGTTGCTGTTTTTGCTTTTGCATAGACCCAAAGAATCCTGACTAATGCCAGTGTTTCTCTTTTATTCTTAGACATTCTAAAAACATGACGGTTTCAATGGCTGTGTGTATTATTCACTTGTTTGTATGATTGCTGGTTTGTGTTTCTTGGTAATAGTGTAACTACTTCCCATCACTTTCCCTTTACAGTGCTGATATTTCCCCCAAGCAACATGCTGAGAAAAATGGCAGAAGAAAAGAAGCTAGATAAATCTTCCTCCACAAAGCATGGCTGCTTTCCAACTTCTTAGCAGAACCCTTCCACTGGCCTCTTTCATCTCATTGCTTATTCATTCATTCTTCCCTTAAATTGTAATGAATTCTTACTATTGGAAGGATGCTATAGATTGTTCGGGGGCAGGAATAGCAAATAGTTTTCATCCCGGCTATCAGCTTTCATTGGTGGGTGTATTGTCAATACACACTAGACTGAGTGGGAAAAGTGTGTTAGCATCTATTAGTTGGACCTGACATGCCCTGTAAGACAGAAATTTGTATATACATATGATGCATTTGTTACTCCTAGTACAGCTTCCTGTTATGAACAATTTCTACTCTGTGACCTTACTCTGAGACAGTTTCTGCTTACTCAGATTTGTTGAAATAGCTCATTTCATAATTGTATTTCATCATCAGTTAGAAAGTTCTTTCCTGGTGATGTAGTGCAGAGTGAGGGGCTGGACTGATTTAGAAAACTAGTTTTAGAATTCTGACTTTGTATCAACTAATTACGTCTTTTTGACTTCAGCTTTCTATCTAAGAAGCTGACCTGAGTATCACAAATCTGCCCCCTAGCTGTGATATCCTATTTTTCACATGGGTCAATATTTGCATCTTGGTAACATGCTCCATTGGCTCTGGTTATACAGTATAAGCTTATGTTAGAGCCCTTCAAATATTTGTATATCTGCATCCACCTGAGTTTTGTTGTTGTTGTCTCAAACCAAACACAACCAGTTTCTTTAATCATTTCTCCATAGGACAAAGGCTTCTAGACTTCTCACCAAACTTAAAGTTTATTGTGGGAGCCAGGCTATCTGTGCAGTAAAATATCCCTACTACCCACTCATATGTTCAGGCTGCCTCTCCTGGAACTTGATTGTCACCAACACATAGCCCAAAGAGAGACAGCCACGGAAACTTTCATAGACTTAGGGAGGTTGTATTCTGGAGTTTTCCAGACTTTTCTCCCAAGCTTCATTCCAAATAGATACAGGGAGCCAATGGGACAAGTCTAGAAGGGACAGTTGTTTCCCTGAGAGATCAGTAAGATCTCTCAGGCACTATGTCATAAACATGGAAGAAAGACATTTTGGGGATGTCATTGATGAATGAAGATATTCTTTCTCCCCATCATCCCTGAGCCCCCATTATAAAGCAATGATTATGTATATCTCCATAAAGGAAATTAAGCTCTCTTCAATCTGATTGCTCTTTCCCATTCTCTCATATTAGTTTTCAGATACAGGGTCTTGCTCTGTAGCCCAGGCTGGCTTGGTACTCAGTAGATAGCCCAGGCTGGCCTTTAAAGTCCCAGCAATTCTATTTCAGCCTTTCCAGTACTAGGGTTACAGGTGTGAGCTACCACACTCAGCTACATTCTAATATTCTGTCATTTGACCTCTTGGTCCCAGCAGATTTTGCGTTTGTCCCTTATAGAAAAAGAATAGGCTCAAATGCTATTGCTAATAATAAAGAAAATGAGAACAAGGAAAAGAAAAGGAGGTCTGGAGAGGGTTCTTATCTGACCATGTGCATACTAGAACATCCCCAAAGAGACTGACACCTTGACTCAATGGGGCCTCATCTGCCACCCAAACTCCAAGGAAGGGAGGCTCTTATGCTTTAGACCATGCGATCCTACATGAGATAGCCCCAGGCCATTATCTCTGGACCAGTCCCTTCCCTTATTTTTCCCTTGTTTGGATCCAGACACCCAGTCTCTACAGGCTGTGAACCATGGTCCCACTTTTGGGGTTTGCAAGATCTGTGCTGACAGCACACTCTGCCAGCGCTCATTCTATCTTAGTTAAGATGAGAGCTCTCTCACACATCAGTGCCTAGCCTCTTCCTTTCTTCCTTCCCTCCTCCCTTCATTCCCTTCCTCCCTCCTTTCTTTTTCTATGGTTCTAGGGATTGAGCCCAGTGCCTTAGGCATGCCAGGAAGCACTTTCCCACTGATCTATATTCCCCAGCTCATCTTCTGAATTCTGTTTTGAGACAAGTTTCTGTCTAAACCACCCAGGCTAACCTTGAACTTATTCTGTATACCAGGCAGGCCTTGAGTTACTGTCCTCCCCCCATGTCCCCTTCCAAGTAGCCGGGTCTCTAAGCTTGTACCACAAAGCCAGCCTGCCTTATATTTTAAACAGAACCTCTCAGCATCTAGCATATGCTTATCAATTCATTTATATGTCATCGAACATGGGACTCTGCTTGGCTTCATCTGAGACTGATTCCTCAGTGCCTCAAAGAGTTCCCAACATACACCCAGTGCTCAGTTCATACTTGGGATGGTGTAACTTTTGAAGCCTCTTTCCCAATGTCTCTTAGACTAAGACTGGTCTCCTACGAGTACTTTGCGTTTTCCAGAGGAAGGGTAATAAGTCTACTAGTTGACAAGTGAGTCACTGTAGCTGGGAACAGTAGTTTCTTTGAGCAGCATGGGCCTGTCCCAAGAGGCCCTGGTACAACTCACTGCAAAATCATTGTTTATACAAGGCAGGTAAAAGTCACCTCCACAAGTCGAGAATTATGCTTGAATTGAGGTGAGGTTGTGGGGATAAAGGGAGGGAATATGGGGGACAGCATGTGTTTATCACCCCAGAACCACCAGGGCTCATCACTAGATCCTGGGTTTCCCTGTTCACATTGTTTTCAGGGACAGGCTGGTTTTCTGTGATTTGGTGAGAAAATGCCTATAGATGGCAGCAGCAGGGGAGGGCAGCAAAAGCTGCATGGTTGGATGGGCATGTGTGTAGAGAGCTGCGAAGTGCAGGCCCTTAAAAATGGTGCTGGCTTCCACCTTCTACCTTCCTGATGGTGAGCACTCTCTGTCATAAACAAGTCCTTATTTGGCTAAGCCTGTTCAGCTTGCTTGCTTCCGCATAAGAGCAGCCTATCTGCAGGGTCCACGTGGCTCACTAGGGTTGGTCAGCGCAAGGGGATTTAAGCCTGTGCAGGGCGGTTCCCCGGGGTCAGAAGAAGAAGCATGTTCAAGGATTCTGATTAAACTGCTAGAAGAAGATTCTCCCCTGAGTTGCTTTTTTCCTTGCTGGTCGAGGTTGGGCGCAACACATGTGCACACTGCAGGAGGAAGTTGGAGGAAAGGGGGGAGAAGAAAAGTGAGTGCAGGAGAGGGAAAGACTTACATAAAGCCAGGAACCTCTGAGAAAAGTCATCAAGAGCCTGGGATCCAGGGGCTGGAGAGATGGCTTAGTGGTTAAGAGAACTGACTGCTCTTCCAGAAGTCCTGATTTCAATTCCCAGCAACCACATGGTGGCTCACGACCATCTATAATGAGAACTGGCACCCTCTTCTGACATACAGGCAGAATGGTGTATACATAATAAATAAATCTTAAAAACAAAAACAACAAAAAAAAAAAAAAAAAAGAGGGGGATCCAAGGTACATGGAAGAAGAGGTGTGTAATGTGAACAACAGGAGCCAGTGGATTTTGCCCATCATTTGTCTCAGGTGACTGTCTTGGCACTGGACAGAAGAGGGAAGGTGTCAGGGCAGGATTGACTTCCTGGGTGGAGCATCTGAAGCCACCTAGGAAACATATTTAAAACTATCTCTGCTTCTTCGACATGTCCTTTCTCTCTATTATCAAAGCCTGCCTGAAGCCCCAGGATAAAACCCATTCCATTTGGATGGGAATAAGCATGAACCTTAGCAGCTACTACTTCCTGAGGATAAGTTTAACTCATCAAGTGTTTTATTTTCCCAAGCAGCAAGCAATAAACAGCCTAGACTTTTTCAAAACAGAATCATTCGATGGCAGGATGCATTTTCCAAAGATGGCCATAACAATGTCCTCTATGGGGGATGTCAAGGCGACCTTGACAATTGAACATTGAGTGGTCAAAACAACCTTCACAATCCTATGGTTGAGTGGTAGGAACTTGGCTCTCCCCTGTGAACTTAGGCGGGTCTTCTATACTTGCAAATGAAAATGAATGTGGCAGATTCTGAAATGTCACAGTACTCTTCCCTCCAGTTTCCCTCATGCTCTTTATTCTCCCAGTTTCAGGAAGACAGACTTACCCTGAACTTAGCTGCTTCTCTTGCCATTGTGCAAGGCTTTGTTGTTGGCTGGGTCAAGCTCTGCTTTTTTTTTTTTTTTTTTTTTCCTGTCTGGCAACTGTGTAGACTGTATAGAGAGACTTTCAAATACTACTCCAGATCATGCAGGAGGCATGAGAGTTAATGGTGATGATGAAGATGTCTATTAATAGGGTGCTACCAGAAAAATGGCTTTCAGCTGGGCGGTGGTGGTGCAAATCTTTAATCCCTTGCACTCCGGTGGCAGAGGGAGATGGATCTCTGTGAGTTAAAGGCCAGCCTAGTACAGGGTTAGTTCTAGGATAGCTAGGGCTGCTACACAGAGAAACCTTGCCTCAAAACAAAAAACAATAACAAAATCCCCAAAACCAAAACAAACACGACAATCCCCTCATGGCTTCCATCCCAAGATGGCATGTCAGCTATCCTTCATCATCTTAAAACCTCAATTTACCTTTGAGGGACCTTGAACTCAGATGATCTGGAAGTCCTTCAGGCCAGAAAGAAAAAGCCCTGCCCTTCATCTAGCCTTGTTCTGCAACTTTTCTTATCATAACATCTTGTACACATGAATGTTTTGGATAAACATCGTCTCTGGGGATCCTAGAGAATGTCCAGGGCTCTTAAGAAAGTGACCTCTTAGTTCACCTTGCCCAGGGAAGATCCAGCATGTGTAAAACTTAGGGAGGAGGTTGGAGCCAGGGTGATGGTGGCTTCCTTGGCTTTTCTCTATCGGCAGACAGGAGACTTGAGGAAGTTACGAGGATCCTGGAAGTTTCCAGATACAGAGCATCATGTGACTGGGCAGGGTGTCTGTCTCATCATGATCCGAGCATCAGTTTATGTTGTCTCTCATGGCACACCTTACACCAGGGGATTCTCTGTCTCCGGAACTACTCTGTCAGTGCCAGCTTCCTTCCTTTTCCCTGCTGAGGAGATTAGAAGGTTACCCATCCAGTGTGTTTAGAGTCTTGGCATACTTGGCCTCAGGCTCTGAACACTAGTTGTCCTGAACCCAATCAACCCTTCTTATTTTCTAAAACCATGGAAGAAAAGGAGATGTCTCTCAAGGACAGGACATTCTTCTATATGTTTATACGTCATCTGCACCTGTACTATGAGTTAGAGCTGTGCCTTCTGCGCCTGGTTACAGGACAAGAAGTCTTGTGGCAGAGCTAGGACCAGCCCCGGGACAGTATTGTGGAGCTTTTACATTATCCCTGGTAGCCACAGCTGCTCATTTGTGAGCCTTTAAAATGCTAGGTTAAGTGAAAGGAGGCTATCACAAAGAACCACCCAGTGGGATTCCATTCACGTGAACTGTCCAGAATAGATAAAGAAAGTAGATACCTGGTTGCCTAGGGCTGGGGGAAGCACAGGGAAGTTGAGGAGCGTTGACCAAATAGATATAGTCTTTCTTTGGTAGGGGAGGTGATAGAAATGTTCTAAAAATTGGTTGTGGGTTGGAAGTAAAGCTTTGGATTAACTTAAAGCTATTAAATTGTACACCGTAATGAAGTGAATTGTAACACTTATGATTTATATCTCAATAAAATAGTTTTTTAAAAACCACTCTTTTCTTGGCTCCTGCCCTCTTTCCACAAATCTTGGGGAGCAAAGGTTGTGGGCTGGACCATTTTCCTAACGGACAGGACCCCTAAATGGAGTGCAGTCTAAGCTGTCCACCTCCACCTCAGCTTTCCCGTCCCTTGAGAAAAATGCACAAGTCCCTCTCACTACTGGGCCCAATGCCTCATCACAGAATAAGACCCTGGTCTTCCAGTATACAACTAACATAGCAAGGCCAGCGAGCTCAGCATGAAGACAGCCATGAAGCCTCTATCATCTGAGATGCCCCTTCAGGGGCAAGGTAAGGGTATCTGGGCAGGAGCATGGATAATTATCTGTGTGTAGAGCCTAGACCCTGATCTGACCAGGTTTTCCTCACCACTTTTCTGTAGGAGTTGATGCTATCAGCCACTGGCTAGGAGTGGGGGTGGGGCTTCTCTGAGAGTTTCTTTCTTAAGAATGGTTGGCAAGAAGTGAGTTGGATTCATCAATACTTTTTTTTCTGAATAACTATTCACCACTGCTGTTCCTGTTTTAGGAGCCACGATGCTCAAGGGACCCACTGGGTATGTCACATCGTGACCCAGCCTTTGCTTTGGTTAGGCTCAAAAGTCCTTGGGATGGAGTAGGCAAAGGTGATTAAAGGAAGGATGTTAGACTGAAGGTAGGCATATAGAGGGGGAGTCAGAGAAGGCTTCCTGGAACACACTCACCTTGAAAACTCAGCCTGAGAGGGCCAGGTGGAAAGGGAAAATCACAGAAGTGTGCCCTAGGCAGAGAGAATATAATGTGCACAGGCCTGTGGGGAATGCGAGCCAGCAGCTCATTTGAAGAATTGCTGAAGAAAAATCAAGTGATTCAGACTGGTTGGAGACGAAAGTGACATGAGACAGGAGTTGCAAAGGGGCAGGTCTTTACATCTAAGAGGGAGGAGGTCTAGCCCAGCTCCTTCCCAACATTTCCACCTCCTTTCCCCATGTTCAACACTTATAACACTCCCACCTGAGCAGGGTCCGTGATGCCATGCCCCAAAGAGACCAGCTAGGATCAGGAAGAGTGAGATTGGCAGGACCACCAGCAGCACATCCTTGTAGGAGGCCTTCCCAGAGGCTGCAACATGGAGGGTAGAGTGAGGGATGGTCTGATGTGTCATAGCCCCTAAACCATAGGTTATTAGTCATTGACCTACCTGCCTCATGATGGCAGCTCTCCCAGGGAGTGACTGTGGCCATATCCCAGCTGACAGGGTTGGAGGCAGTGCAGGTATAGGCTACATCTTCGGCTCCCAGTCCCAGCGAGACTCTTAACACCTGTCTGTTTGAGAAAGGGCTATACAGTTCCACTACGTCGGCATCCGTTGTCCCCTCCCGTCGCCAGCTGTAGGTTACATCACTGCTGTTGGGGGCCCAGCAGGACAAGAAGACCTGGCAGGTTTGGGGGGCTTGAGCCTCTTCCGTTGCAGCAGTGAACACTTGAACCACAGGCTTGGGTACTGCATCTGTGTTAGAAGGGCAGAACAGAGTGGGTTAGAGGTCCGCTGGCCTGAATCCACAGCTCTGTGTCTGGGTCCTGTGCATGGTTAGATGCCTCTTTTGTTCTTCAGTCTCATTTATCTCCCCATTGCTGATTCTTTAGCTTGATATCTGAAGCTTTTATGGGAGAATTCGTGTCAGCCTCTCCAGCTTTACTCTGCTGGTCTCCCTCTCCTTCCTGTTCCATTGGTTTGCAGGTCTCTCAACCATGAGCTGCTGTTTCAGACATTGCCTGCTTTTGTGTGGATCATCTGTGCACATAAAAAATGCTCTCTACTTCCTCTAAAGAAGGTCGTAGTCTGTATTTTGGCTTGCCCTCATACCCACAATCCCTTGCTTCCACATTCAGAATGCTGTAATTGCAGGGTGTACCACCAAGCCTGGCCTATTCTTTCCCTTCTTGCCCACCTAGGAACCTCCTATGCATCCTTTAAGACCGCCCCTCTGCCTCCATCCCCTTCCAGTCAGACACACTGCTTCATGCCTTGACTGTGACACCTTCCCTGATAGTTCAGCTATGACCCACTCTCCAGGCATTCACTCTGTTCGTGTCTTTTGGAAGTACTTTCACAGGGTGCCAGTCAGTCAACAGGGGATGACAAGTATTTATTAGTTCAGGTAAGAACACACATTCCTGTACTTCGGGAGCTTTCAGTCTAGTGACAGAGACAGACACTGACACGTGACGATGAACAAGAAAATGATTGCAAGGGCATAATACCGTGAATGAGGAGCCTGGAGGGAGGGGCTCTGTCATCTCCATAACCTTAGCATTCTAGTCCTGGCAAATTGGTGTTTGATACCTGGGCTGCTAACCAATTAGTGTCCTGGCATGCTAAGCAGTGGCTCCTCATTCCTATATAGATTGATGAGTAAATCCTGAGTCTCTAGCAATGGGGCCAGTGGGAGAGCATTATAATGACAACAGGAGGGCCGGGTCTCTGACAGCATTCCAAAGTCAAGCAGAGTGAAACCTCGTTAATGCCAGCTCAGTCGGGTGGGATTTGTGATATGAAGAAAGAAATGATTTGCTGGGCATACTAATAGTATAAACAGAGATTACAGGGGGGATATTTACACCACTTAAGAGGACAAGCTGCCTCCAAACACGATCAGGCGCAGTAGAAACACCCATCGACATTTCTGGTAACCGATCTGCTAATTCAAATCATTCTTATCTATTGTCAAAGCCGAGCTCCTAAGGACGGCTGCTTGGCAGCTTCCTGCAATTAGTTCTAATCACGCTATGTATTTGGAAGCAATAAAACAGCAATTTCCTTAAAATCTGTAATTCAGATACCGAGAACAAGGCATTTTAGGGCTTAGTGGTGTGGGTGCTGCATGCATTACCACACTCAATGTCCTTGTTTTACATGTGCAGCAGCTGAGACAGAGTAAGGGAGAGGCTCCTGGGCCATGGTGGCTGTGGCGGTCATTCACTGTACAAGGGCACTGGGGTAGGGGCTAATGAATAAGTGCTGAAATCCAGCCAGCATTCTGCCTGCTGAGATGTACAACTTGCTTCAGGCCTCCATGTTTCTGGAAGTGCATCCTCTAGCTGTAAATCAGAATCCTGAATGGCTCACCCAAGGGCAGGTAAGACAGCTAGCTGCCTCTGGGGCTTTGAGAACCCTCCCAGTGTGCTCACAGCCACTCTCCTGCATCCTCTTTCCAGCCTCTGTTCCCACTTTGCGTTCTTAAATTTGGACCCTCTGCAACCTTTCACAGTTTTTGAGCTTTTGCTGAAATACTGGTGTGGGCCCAACTCACATTTTTGTCTAAGCCATTAGGTAGATGAGATGAATGGGAGTTAAAAAGGCTTGGAGCAACAGAAATGGGTGGAGATAGTGCAGGGCAGGAGAGGGAGGGGGAGAGGGAGGAAAAAGGAGAGAGGGGGAGAGAGAAGGAAGGAGGAAGAGAGAAAGAGAGAGAGCTCATTCTATCCTCATCCCATCCTTAGCCAATTCATCTACTCCAGCTGCAGGGATAAACACAGCTGCACACGATGATGCTGGCATTGTGGAGTAAAGCCCACCCTGTGGACCCTAAGAAATAAAGAGTGACTATTTTTAGCTCTGAAGTGATGCAGCTCAGGTTGACCTTGAACCCACAGCAACCCTCCTGCCTCAGACTCCCAAGTGCTAGGATTACATGCATATATTACCATACCCAACACAGGATCTTTTAGGAAAAGTAAGGCTGGGAGGTGATAGGGGTGGGGAAGGTCGGGGGGGGGGGCGTTGGGTTAGAACTCTGGTAGAATTGGTTCTTAGTATGTAGAGAGAGGCTGGTGAAGTGGCTGCTTCGTGAGGTGCTTGCCTGGGAAGTGTGTGGGAAGCTCTATTTTTTAGATGTGACTTACTGGGAGCAGCTTTTGACTTTAACAAAGTGGCCAAAGGCCATTCTTTTCTGGAACCTAGTCCTCCCAGGCTCCCATGGCTCCAGATGCTTGGCTGGTTGTTTGCAGGAGGAGACTCAGGAAACCAGTGTTGGGCACACTTACCGTATACCTTGATATGGAGGGTTTGGGTCCAGGTCCGACCCCCTGTGTCCACCATCAGAACAGAGAAGTTGCCGCTGTCTCCACTTTTCAGGGGTCCAAGCTCCAGGCTGAGGTTGCCATGTAGCTGGACTCGGCCCAGGAAACGGGAGTGATACAGAGTCTCCAAGGAACCCTGGAAAAATGAGGCCAGGAGCTCCTCTGATGGCCAGAGAGATCGCCAGATGGCCTCCCGCACTTGGAAGCTAGGAGGGCACTCTGCCACCAGCAGCACTGAGTCCCCCACTTTGCTTAGCACTTGGACACTGACGACCACAATTGGAAGGAGTGCTGTAAGGACAGAAACCATGGTGAATGTGCCTGTGTAGGCGTCTTGTCCTACTCCTGGCAAACATCTCAGTTGCACAGAGTTGAATTAGGGTCCTTCCACCACCCAGCAGATGCACTGAATTGAGGCTGTAGTAGTGTGTGTCATGGATAGGGGAACAAAACAGGAAGAGAAACTGATCTCTGTTCATGGAGAAACCAGACCTCAAGCCAGCCACTAAAATAAATTAAGAATCACGATGAGAATAAGTGGCTGAACACAAATAGGTTAATAGGGGTCCTTGCTCAGCCTGGAGTGGCCTCAGAGAAGAAACAACTGGACGAGGAATAAGAATCAGCCAGTCAAGCAGTTGCTGCTGGAGTAGGGATGGAGAAGAGCTACAGGCTAAGGGGACAACACCGAGAGGAATTCAAAGGAGAGAGCATGGGGAAACGAAAGTGGTTCTGTGGACGGGAAGTAAGCAGGCAAGAGTTGGCGGGATCACACTGTTCCACGAAGCAGCATTGCTTTCTGGGCTTTTTGTCCTAGAACAATTGTGTGTGTGTGTGTGTGTGTGTGTGTGTGTGTGTGTACACAAGAGCACACACGTGTGCTCATACACACAGTGTCTCAGTAGGGTTTAAATGAGAAAGTGATGAAATGCCAGCCTAAGATGGTCATGGCAGGAGGCATGGAGAATGCATGAAGGCTGAGGCTGTTTATATGAATACGGGAGAGAGGTGATGGAAACTTGAACAAAGGAAGGGAACTGTGAGGATGGGGAAACTGAGACAGAGAGATTAATAATGTAATTAGCAAACAGTGGTATTAGATTAGATCCGGAGAGTGAAGGAGAGAACTCAGAGAGTGTACCCAGGTCTTTGGGATTCATTGCCTACATTATTCACGATCTGAAACAAGGACAGAGACAGACAGGAGGTGAGATAGCAAGATGCTGAGTTTTCTGAGGACCATTTGGAGTTTGAAGTCTGAGGAAGACAACCCTGCTTGGACTGCCCTCCTGAGTCCTTTTCTGCCATGTTCGTGCTTACACTGGAAGTATCACCATCACCTCTAACCTCTCCTGTCTCTCACGGCAAGTATACATTCTTTCTGCTTTCCCACAGTGATCAGGGGTCAGCACCCCTGTCCTATTATTGTCTGTTTCTGAATCAACATCTCCCGCTAGGTCATGAACTCATTCAGGTCAAGAGCAAATGTCTTCATCCATGTACTTGCAATGCCCCAGTTTGATACCAGACCACAGGAGCTCAGCGAATTGCACTGAGTTTGTGGAGGACTGGCCCCAAGCCTGGAATAGGAGTCTCTGGGGGTGCAGGACAGGGTTAGGGCTGATATGTAATGTATCCAAATGCTGGGAGTTGGGATAAGGAGCCCTGTTCTGGATTGCCACTCTGCTGGCCATAACTCTAGTCCTTATCCATATCCTTGTCCTCTCTGAGCCTAGCCATCTCCATCCTGACAGGACACAGCTTCAGTGTTAACAGGGGATGTCAGTTGAGACTGAGGTTCTCTTGTGTCTTGGTTCTGCCACAAATCAGTTGTGTGACTGTCAGTCTCTTACCTTCCTTCTCTAAGTAAGACAAGGAGGCTGGATCAGTACCATTGAACTGTTCTCTGTTGCCAGCAAGAATCTCTCTAAAAACAATTGAAGGTCTGAGAGTGTAGTGAGTCCTTGTTTAGTCCTTATGCATCCTTGAAGGATACAACAGTGTCTTGAGGGTCTGTGAACTCCATCCTGGTCCTGCAGGGGCTGACCTTGTCATGTTGACTCAGGCACAGATTGATGAAGGGCCACCAAGCATTTGAAGATGATTCTCAAGCCCACAGAGACCATGTTTAATTTGCTGTCACCTCTCCTCTCTACCCAATGTCCATCTTCCCTTGTACAGGTACAGAGAGGGACCCCAGCATTCCCATAGGTTCCTCAGAACATAGGGAACCCTGCCTTGCTTTACCCTCCCCTCTTCTCCATGGACTACAGAGTTCCCATGTGTCAGTACTAACTGACCTCCCTCCCCATCATCCCTGTACCCAACTTTTTTTTCAAAAACTGTCATCATCTTAAGCTGCTCTGGGTCCTAGAACAGATGCCACTAGTGCTGCTACCCCATTTCATCCAAGACCCCACTTTAGGTTGCCCCAGAGCTTGCTTCAGTCTATACTTCTTCTTAGCTTCTGGGTTCTTACTTTGTTTTGAGAGGCAGCTGTCTAGAGGTCTGATGAGGGCAGCCAGGGAAGGGCTTTCAGCTCCCCTAGGACAGGCTGTCTGTCTATCTGCTCCACTTACCTTCGCAGAGAAGAAGACTCCAGAGGGACCACATGGCTGATATCCCCTTCGGAAGACTCCCTAAACAAACTAGGATATCCTAGGCCAAATGAGTACACAAAAGGAGCTGTGGTCCTGCTGGAAAGTCCCATGTTCAGAAGGAGGAATTTTGACTCAAAACAAGATGTCTTGAAAGTGAAAGCATCCCAAATAAAGTGGAAGTTGGCTATGGTCCTGGCCAGGCCTAGCTGAGCTTTCAAGAGCAGATTCTTGTAAGTCAGCCTCTTTTCCCTGCACATGGCTTGCCAGAGCATGGTGACAAGCACACCCACACAGCCCATGTGCTCCTTGTAGATCATCACCAGGCCTCTCTGCATCCAACCCTGCCCATGGCTGTGTCTAATCACCATCATCGCCTCAGAGAGCCCTCTGAGCTGCAATTCCAATTGTTACTTCCCCTCTGCTTAAAATTTTTTGAAAACCTTCTGCTGCCCACTGGATAAAGACTAAACACCAAGCTTAGCATTCGAGGCTTTCCAGTTTCTCCAGGCTGGCTGTCCATATGCCCTTTCCTCTCTGGCCATGCCAGCAAGGTTACCCCTTTTTAGAACCATCCATTTGGCATTTGCACAAATTGTTTTGGCTTCCCAAGCAGGCATGCTCTTCTGTCTATCCTTGCAGACCCAGGAAAGCTCTGCACCCAGCCAGGCTGTCCGTAAGGCTGATCACAAGCAGAGTGACAAGCCTTTGTACCCATGTGCACTTACTCTTCCCTTACGCCCTTGCCATCTTGCTGGTCACAGCTTCATAGTTTTTGTAAGTGGTTTAACAGCAACACTTGTATTTGTTTCTGTACTGGACATGCTTATTATTTCATAAATAACTGATAAGTGAGTGAATGACTGGTAGACATGGTTACCCCTTTTTGCTTTTATGTAAGGCTGAGAACCATTCTCAGAGCTGAGCTTCTTGTAGCCCTTGTGGAAGTATCTGTGGTGAAAGAATTTAAAGCCAGTGTGATGCTACACAGGCTGCTGGAATCCCAGAGGGTCAGATCATGGGTCTATTACATCATAGTCACCCCCTCCTCACTCTTGTTCTGTTTATAGTATTTCAAATGATTCTCTCCTCCCCTTCTTGCCCCCCCAGTACTAGGGATGGAATGGAAGGCCTCTGGAATGTTCTACCACTGAGTACCCCTATCCATAGCAGGGAAGTTTTCCAAGATGTTGCCCTTGAGAAAGGTTCCTAATGTCCTGACTGGATCATCGTGTATTGTCCTGCACGGTCTCTAGCTTGTCAGTCAAATGGGTATTGGTCTTTGGTGTCATTGAATCAGCGATTAGACATATAGGACACGAGCTCGTGAGCAGGAGAGGTTGGGAAGAGGGTCCCTGCCTGAAGAGACAGACACACCAGGAAAAGCGAAGGCTGCTGGTAGCAGGCCTTTCTCTAGACAAATGACCCACACAGGCAGTCGGCATTGCTTGAGGGATGGATGGATGGGGGTGGGTGGAAATGGAGGTGTCTGTAGATCTGGGCAAGGATTGCCTGAGACTTTGAGAATGGTTTAGATAAGAAGAGAAAAAGAAGGCCAGAGGTTCTGATGGGCCTTGAACACAAGGAAAGAGTTGGGTATGTGGAGTCTGTAGTGGGAAAGTACCAAGTAGGCTCCAGGAACGAGGGAGGTCAGGGAGTGGTCTTTGGAAGCCATAGTGGGAAGAGTGGAAGGGGAGAGGGGAGTCTGATCACGCAGGCTGACCACTGGGTTCAGGTATTCTGAAGAGCAGTGTCTCTCTCCTTGTTAAATACCCGAGTTCCCAGGGTCGTGGGCTTAGTAGGTGGAGATGGGTCCGGGAAGCTTAGTTCTAATAAGCACTGTACCAGGTATGCATGTCACTGGTGGACTGAAGCAATGGCCTAAGAAGCCCTGCTCGGAGGCAGGGGGCTGTTTTTGTGCAGTGCAGGCTGGGAGAGGAAGAGGAAAGGAGTCCGGGAAACAGAAGGGCCTGAACTAGGAAAGAAATGTCTGGAGGAGAATAGATCGGCTGATGGGAAGTCACAGCAGAGGTTGGAAGTTTATGGCTGTGGGACAGAGAAGCCATGGGAGGAGACTAATTTATGGCTCTCTTGTCAATTCTGTCATCTATTCATGAAGCATTTATTGAGCATCTATTTAGGTGCCAGGTGCTGGGGACACAGAGATGAAAGGCTTAGCCCCTGCCCTTAAGGAGTTCGAAGGTTAGAGGAGGAGATGGGATGCGAAACACAATAATTACAATCAATGTCACAATCATTACAATCAGTGTCACAAGAACAATGCTAAAAGTGTGCACAGGAGGCCATGGGAGATGGAGGACAAAGGCCTGGGTGCGTGAGTGGGTGGGAGGCTGGGAGGCCTTAGTTGAAGGATGGGTGTCTGAGGGAGCCTTAGACTACAAGCCAGAAGGCAGTAGCGGTTTTTAATGCAGTGGCTAGAATTCGTCCTGGATCCCAGTTTGGCCACGAAGCCATGAGGAAAGTAACTTCTGTGCTTCGATGTGTTCACCTGAGGTGTGGGAGTTAAGAACTGGATCTCCCTCTCAGTGTTGATGGTGAACATGGTTTACCATGGATCTGGTCCAGAGTGAGGCTCAAACTTGAACCATGCCTGCAAGTGGACAGAGACTGGAAAGAGATGGCCGCGGAGGGAGATAGAGGCGTGTTTGGTGTTGAACTCCATGAGGGCTTGCCTCTTTCACCCTTACCGCCC